CCACATGGCGCAGCAGACCTCTCCTGCCGCCCGCTGCTCCCCTCAGCAGTATACTTCGGTCCTTCTGCCTGCTCTGCTCCCTGCTCTGGCTCTGGCGAATTCTCTCACTCTCCCACACTTCTGACTGTACCCAGTGCTTGTATAAATAAATGAATAAATCTTTATAAATAAATAAATAAATAAATATGCAATGTAATTTAAGGTATTGGTGCTGAGGCAAAAATCCATCAATGTAAGGAGTTAGGGAGTGTGATTAGTAGTGGGGGGGTATGTTTTAATTAGTTGTATTAGAGGTAGCCTTTCTGAAGGAGTGGCATTGAATGCAACGAGGAGTCAAGTGACCATCTGAGGTTCAAACATTTCAGGCAGGAGAAATGGGATGCGCCAAAAGTCCCGTGGTAAGAACAAGCTCAGTGAGTTGAAGATATAGAAAGAAAAACTCAAATTGCTTTCTCAAAAGGCCACTCTCCATACCATGGCCTATAAGGCTTCTCATGATCTGATCTTTACCCATCTATCCTATGTCCTATCTGAGTCCTATAGTTTGGAAAAGAACTATTGCGTGGAAGTGGGGTATCTTGGAGGAGGGTGAAGGAATCCCAGTATCTTAGCTTTCCTTGAGCTTATTCTCTTAACCCTGTTACTTCAATAGCATTTTTTCAAGAGTATAAAGAAGGAATACTAACCTTATCAGGCATCAACAATGTATGTATTAAACATTTGCAATCAGCTGGCAGCGTGCTTTATAAATGCCATTTATTTAAGTTATTTAAGTTTTATATCAGTCTTATAAGCTTGGCGATTGCACCACCATTTTGCAGGTGAGGAAACAGATTCAAAGATATTGATTAACTTTTCCATGGTTAAATTCTTTTCAAAAATGATTTCAGGTCTTCTCAATGCTTCAGGGCTGTGAGTCATATTAAATAGGGTGTGCCAATTGTATATTGTACCTAAAAGTCAATTCCTGATAGCAGCTCCAAGATAGTTTATAGAATAGCACTTTCTCCCCCCGCCCCCCCCCCCCCCCGCCATGGGGAAAGCTCAAAGAACAGGATTAAACCTTGTGTATAGCACAGCACCAAGAAAAAAAAACCCACAATAAATAAGCAAGCCAAGATTCTAATTGTGCAACTAATGACCTTTGTGAGCCCAGGATGTTAACTTTCTCAGTCTTAAGTTTCCTGGCCAGTTGAACTTCTGTAGGATGATTTCTTTTTAATCAGCTGGTTTTGACCATTTGTGGTCTTATTTATGCTATAGTAAGAGGGTAGGTAACCAGATTGAAGAACCTAACTTTTTTTTTAAATTTTCTTTATTTATACATACAAGAACTGGGGTGTAGGCCAGAAGTGGAGGTGTGGGGTGAGATGATTCACCAGAGACAGAGTGGGCAAAAGAACAGGAGGATTGAATGAAATACACTGCTGAAGGGAGTAGCAGGCGAGTCAGGAGAGGTCTGCTGTGCCATGTGGGTAGCTCCATGGCCAGGAATCGAACTCGTACTGTAGTGGCTGTAGATAGCTTCATAGGTTGCACCTTAACCCCTTGCGCCACCAGGGAGGCCCAAGAACCTAACTTTTAACACCCTTAAAATCCAAAGGAACTGGGGTCTCCCTCGTGGGGCAAGGGGTTAAGTCTCAACACTAAGAAGCTATCTGCAGCCATTGCAGCACAAGTTCGATCCCCGGCCAGGGAGGTGACTCACATGGTGCAGCAGACCTCTCCTGCCTTGCCCACTGTTCCCCTCAGCAGTGCATTTCTGTACATCTGCCTGCTCTGCTCCCCACTCTGTCTCTGGTGAATCCCTTCACCTCTGGCCTGCACCCCAGCTTTTGTATGCATAAATAAATAAATCTTAAAAAAAATCCAAAGGGCCTGCCCAGCAAAGATATTTTAGGCTCTCAGTCACTGGACTGTGGGGTTGAACTTTCAATTGTTGTTGCCATTGTTCCAGCAGCGCAGGGAGGAAGGCTGAAGAGAAAGCAGGAAAAGCTCACAAGGAAGAGTAACGTTTGGGGAAGGCTGTAAAGTGTAGAAATGGTGTGGAAGGATCAGTTAACTTAGTAGGTGGCTGTAGCCTTTCAAAACAGGGTCAATATGGTGTCACCTCCTTCCTTAACTTTTCGATTTACAGCTTAAAGCTTTTGAATGATTTCCTTCCCAAGAAAAGCACATGGGCTACTGAAAGAAAGGAAAGAAGAATCAAAGTCATCAAAAAGTCCCTGTCAATAGTCATCTTTTAGAACTGAAACAGGAAGGTTCTGCCTAGAAAAGTTTAAATGGAAAGGAAGGAATGTCACTATGCTACTAGTTCAGAGGTTTGAGCAAAAATGTAATTATTGCACATATTTTTTCTTAAATATGTCTTCTTCCACTTAAAGAATATTCCCTAAATCCCTTGTGTTTTCAAATAAGGACCCAAGATCTCTTCTTAGAGGAGCTGAGTACAAGGAGAGGACAGCTGGTCAACCTGGACAAGAGTGTGGACTCTGAAGTCACATTTATTAGTTGAAATCCCATCCTCCCCGCTTCCTAGCTTTGGAAGTTACTGATGCTCCCTCAGCCTCAATATTCATAATCATGAGACTATGAGTGCATGCCTATTTGTTAGAATTTAATGAGATTTCAGTGGGAAAGAAGATGCAAAATCATTGAGATCTCACACTTAGTGAGTTCATTCCTTTGTACCTTCTTGCTTATTTGGTAAAGCATCCACCCATTCTTAGCAATATCTTCTTTTTTTAAAGATTTATTTATTTATGCATACAAGAGCTGGGGTATAGGCCAGAGGTGTGGGAGGGTGAGAGGATTATCCAGAGACAGAGTGGGGAACAGAACAGGCAGATTGACCCAAGTACACTGCTGAGGGGAACAGCGGGTGAGTCAGGAGAGGTCTGCTGTGCCAGGTGGGTTGCTCCCTGGCCAGCTGGGGGATCGAACTCGTGCTACAGGACAGCTTCATAGGTTGTTTCTTAACCCCTTGTGCCGCCTGGGAGGCCCCAATTCTTAGCATTATCTTTTTAAAACATAATCTCTAGAAAAGCATTTTGATTTGAGAGTTATTTAGCTAAATCTTTGAAGCTACTTACATTTTAGGGTAAAAGAAAATCTTAGAATAAAACTTTCATTCTAAATAAAACAAAGGTAAAAGTTTTAGAATAATTCATTAGGCTGTTGGTCCCTTAGCATTTTAGAATATTTCTATGTAAAGTTATATATTCAGTATTTATGATGCAACAAAAATTGGCTTTAGTGTTTATATTTATTCATTCACTTAATTCTCACACAACTTTCATTCCCATTTTAAAGACAAGAAAACTAAGACTCAAGCTGGCAAACACTCTACAACCTCCTTAGAATCTAATACTTAGTATTCAATAACTGAGTGAAAGGGCCTGTTGCACTTGTAGGGCACTATCAGTTTACACATCTTTTCCAAAAACTGGACATTGTTTTATCTTTTTTTAGGCAATCAAATCATTCTTTCCTTCTCTTCTGAATAGAAAGAGACTTTATTGCTTTTAGATTGCTCTTTGTGCCTTGAAATATTAGTGGTTTTTTCACAGAAGAACATGTGTTTTCCAGCTCAGTCCTTCTGATTGGTAAAAGCTTGCAAAGGGAGGAGGGAGAAATTGACAGGAACAGGTCCAATTCTAAATAGCCCAAACCTGCTGCTTACTATGCGCTCTGCCTTCCTAAGAATGGGAAACCAAATGACGAGACAAAAGATGAAAGTCAGTTTTGATGTGAAAGTCTGCTTTGGTGTCCTTAAAGTCTTACAGATTGCTGATATTAATTTACTAGAATTAATAGTGGTGTGTATTATAGCTAGAATAATCGCACTGAGTGCAATCTGCCAAAATTAAGCAAATTAAGTGTTTAACTTAAAGGATTTTTTTTCCTTCTCCTTCTTCCTCTTCTCCTTCTGTGTCTCTTCCTGAATACAGGCAGCCAGAGATTCAGGCCCCCAGATTTCTCTCTGCAGAGTGTACTTTACCTTTTGGATGGGACTTTAAAGACTTTAAACAGCTTGAGACTTATAGTTTGCCACAGGAGCATGTAGCAAATTCCTGTTTCTACTTTTTGAACCAGGAGCTGGAGTATAAGAGCCTCGCGCAGGAAGTCGCAGGTGGTGGGAGAGGGGAAATAAGGTCATTTTCAACCATGTACATTGAGGTTGTACCTTTAAAGTCAATTCTAAATTTAATTGAAAGCCGAGGGCAGAGAAGCCAAGATCGGAGCAATGTGGTGATTTATTCTGAAGCCTGTAAGAAGTCATGCGGCTGAATGTGGGATGAGCTGGGGCTTTAATAAAAATGGCACTGGGGAAGCCAGCGGGAAGAGGCACAAGAATGGAACTGGGTTAGATGAAGGATCTCCAGCCTGAAAGGGAGCGGGGGTCTGAGAGAGCAGTGTTTGCCCAAACTCTGCTGTTTTTACCATGATGGATGCACATAAGTAATCTGCATCAAAAGGAAAAACCGGGATCAGAGAGAAGCTACCAAGACGCTTTAGACAGTGAATTTTGCATGAAATCATTAAGGTTCCCAAATTGCAGAAAGGCTACGGAGTGAATGGCAATGAAAACTCATCTAATATTACATTTCTAGCTGAAATTTAGCTGAAGAAAATGACATGTTCCTTTATTAAAGCGCTATAGGACTTGACAGCAAAGCTCCCACACATTTCTATGGGTGGTATTGTGTACTAAATTATATTGGACCATTGATACAGAAAATCCATAATGTGTTTTCAGAGTCAAATCTGCCCTGTGGACAAATGGTTTGGGAGCAATCTTTCTAAGTTAAAAAATAAAAAAATAAAGGAAAACAGAAGCTTGTTAGCAGATGTTATATTAGAAAAAGGACTGGGAAGAAATTGTACTCCCGGGGTTCTAGGTTCTTTGACCTGAGGGAGGGTCTGGTTGTCCCTTCAGGGACAGAGATTACATGATTTATTCCTGTGACTCTAATTTATATATGCTCCTTTTTTTTCAGATCAATTTTACATCATATTTGACATCATCATCCTCGTTAACCTTAAACTTATTACAAACATATTACATGTACATAGTCGGACACTGAGACAATGCAAGAGAGAATCAAGAAGAAAATAAATGTCACTTGCAGTCTCACCATCCAGAGATAATCACTGTTCGCATCGGTCAGTCACACTTTCATTAAGAAAATATTCAAAGGACAAGAAGGTTTTACCAGGTACTTCTTCCTATTGAATAATGATTACATTTAGAATTTGGATGTGACAGTGGAGGCTCTTTAAAGTTTTTTAAACTAACTTTGGCTCTGTTCCTCTCTCTTCTTTCTAGTTGCCTGATTGGTGATACCAAGATTTATGCCGTCATAGAAGAAACCATACACAAAGCTCTTCTCTTAATCGTGTGCCGTGGCCACCAACTCTTGATCACCATCAAGTTTCCATTGCATGTGTGTGTTTGTGATCACAAGAGTTCATGTATTTTGTATTATTTGGATAAGGCTAGATACCAATAATAGAAATCTAAAAATTGGTATGGTTGGGGTACTGGAATTGTGAATGGATGTTTTTCTAAATATTTCCCTTATTTTTGTTAAAATATTTGTGCCACAAAGAAACTAGTATGGAAATAAATGTTGAGAGTGGAGAGGGGGCAGATGCGGAAGGGGAAGCAGGGGTGAGCCAATTCTAGAAACAAGCAGTTTTCATATGATTTTCTAGGTTCAAAACACAATAAAAATACTTTTGCATTTATGTTTACTGGATTCAAAAGTAAAAGACCTGGGTTCTAGTCCCACTGTTAGCAGCTGTTCATTTTTTCTGAGCTCCAACCTCCTCACTCATAAATGGTATGACAGCACTGCTCTTACCTAATTTATTTTACAAAAGATGTAAAAGAAAGTTGGAATGAGGCAATTATGCAGAGAAAGATGTTGTTTGACAATTATAATTACTTTTTTTGTTTTTAAAGATTTATTTATTTTTGCATACAAGAGCTGGGGTACAGGCCAGAGATGCGGGGGTTGGGGGGTAAGAGGATTCACCAGAGACAGAGTGGGGGACAAAACAGGCAGACTGACTGAAATACACTGCTGAGGGGAGCAGCGGGCGAGACAGGAGAGGTCTGTGCCATGTGGGTTGCTCCCTGGCCGGCCGGGGACTGAACTCTGCTGCAGAGGCTGTGGATTGCTTCACAGTGCGGTGCTTAACCCTTTGTGCCACGGGGGAGGCCCGACAATTATAATTATTTTTATTAGCCATAGAATGTCCAAAGTTTCTAGGAGATTTCCCTCATGGTCATATTGGTTCCATTAAATTGATGGAATTTAATATCCTCCTTTTAGGGAGTCAGGGTGGACCATGGGAATTTAGATATATATTTTTGGAGTCCGACATTATGTGTATTTGGGAAGCCTTGAACAATTGACTTTGGCTCATTGAACCTCAGTTTCCTGTTCAGAAGAAAGGCTTATCTTGCAGGGCTGCTAAAATAATCAGTAAAATACGTAAAGCACCACACATGAAGTTGGTCACACAGCAAGTGCCAAATCTATGTTGTTGCAATAACTGGGTCAGTTTTTGAAATATTCTCCCTCAGCTCCCCGTTCCCATAGTTCACATATAAAAATCTGAGAATATTTCGCTTAGGTGCTCTTGGTATAGTGTCTTTCCAGTATCTGGCAAAGTTTTCTGATTACTTGAGTAGCAAGTTCAATACCTTAGTTTTCTAAGAGATTCTGTTTGCTGATGATTCTACTCTGAAAGGGCACTTATGTACAGTGAAGACCAAGCAGAGTGGGACTTTGCTATAAGCTATCAGCCCAGACATAGGACTAAAAAGCCACAAGCCAATCCATACCAGGAAATACACACACAGCCAAAAGATTTTTGTCAGCATATTGTGCTTCTGGTAGTTTATTTGAAAGTATGGCTTGGACATTATCCAGAATTGGGCAAGCTCAGAGGCAGCAAAGCTGGAGACACTGTTCCCTGCAATTACCTTCAGGTTCAGCTTTCAGGTTGGGAGTTAGAGGGATGTGGGTTTGAATTCCAGTTTACTAGTTTAAGAAACCGCTGTTCCACTGCTGACAAGCTGAGTGACATGGTGTAAGTCAACCGATCTCTGCAAATCAATTTCTACATCCGTCCATTGGATAAAAACCAAAGTGCTATTTCAGAGACAAAAGAATGAATTGAGAAAATGAGTTAAAGGGCCTGGGTCTGGCATTTTGCAGGTTCTCAGAAAATGATAATTGTGGTTATTATTAGTAATAATGAGGTCGTCATCATTTTTTTCTTTGAGGGCTGCTCAGCATTGTGACAGCAAAAATGTATACAAATAAAGCCCTGAGTAAGTGTATGTGCTCACAGTGCTTCAGTATTGTGAAGACAGAAGCCATGAAGTCTATGTGGAGAGAATAAGACCAGTAGATGCTTCATAGAGAAATGTTTGATCCTTATCTTGAAAGACGAGTAGTTCTCAAAGAGGGAAAGAGGGAAGGCGGTTCAGGCAGAGGAGGGAGGACATATGGACACAAGTATGTTGCCCCTGTGTCTGGAGCCTAAAATTGCCACATGGATACCAATGGGGGAAGAGGAGCTACAACGGCAATGCTGCTCTAGTATGGAGATGGTATTGTACACAGTGCCACTGCCCTTGCTTTCTTTTTCTTTTTAGAAAACCTAACATTATTTTGTTTGATACCTTATTTATTTCCTTTTTTAAAAGAAAAAGAAATCTTCACCATCCATTGGACCTCACTTTATCCTTGCTCCCACCCCTACCCTCTGTCCCTCTGGTAACCTCAGCTCTGTTACCAAATTCCACTGCATTACTTTGATTCTGTTTTATCCATTCATTTGCTTTAGCAGCCACTGTAGCACAAGTTCGATCCTTGACCAGGGAGCTACCCTCATGGTGCAGCAGACCTCTCCTGTCTTGCCCACTGCTCCCCTCAGTAGTGTATTTCAGTAGATCCGCTTGTTCTGCTCCCCACTCTCTCTCTGGTGCATCCTCTCACCCACCCCTCACCTCTGGCCTACACCCTGGCTCTTGTATGCACAAATAGATAAATCTAAAAAAAACAATTGAGATCATATACTGTCTCTACAGGTGGGCTGACTTCAAGAGAAAGGCTTGAAATAAGCTACTGGTGTCAAGATTGTTCTTATTAGGAAAGCTACAGAGGATAGAAAAAATGTGTAAGTCATTGTGGGTGACCAGTGTGATAGATTTATGAAGAAAACCCCCTTTCCAGACCTCTTTTTCCTTTGCAAGGAGCCAACAGGGATTCTGTTCTCCACTTCCACCCTTCACCTTACCCCAGGTACCCTTAACATGCCACTCTCTTGCGTTCCCCTCCTGTTCATCCTGTGCCTGGGGAAGGAAAAGATGCAACCATTTACTTTTCATGGCTCTCTCCAGGGGGTTTGAATTTTGAGCCTTCACTTTCATTATGTAATGAAAACATATATTTCCTATGGTAAGAATTTTAGACAGCAGTGAGGAGGGAGAGATGGGGTGAGGATATGAGGATAGAGAGGACTAAGTGACTTCCACTGAGCAGTAATTACAGTGGAGAGTAGAAGACCATTCTCAGACCTCTGGGGCCTAGCTGGAAGCATTTCATTCAATAATCATTTAGTATTGAGAGCTGTGTATGCAGGACACTGCTGGGTTTGGGGAAAATACAAAGTAGAGTGAGGGGGGATGGTATAGGAAGAGGGATGAGACCTGTACACATATGTGTGATAGAAGGAACTGGGGTGGGGGTTTTGAAAGACAAAGAGATTAGATCAAACTTTAGCAACTGGGCCAAAGAAACAGCATTTGAAAGGTGGTCTTGAAAAACTGAACTGACATGGAAATCCCAGAAGAGGGATTACTGGTTCCTCCTTCCCATCCTTGCTACCTCCCTTGTCCTGTCCCCTTGAAGCAATGAATCCAATCCATTGTGTGCAGAGAACAATTTCAAATATTTGATGAATATTACATAGATAAAGTTGAACCAGGATATGCTTCAGGGTGTGTGTGGTTTAAAACAAATTGTATTTTTGCATAGGTTACCTTCATCCCCTCAAACCATACCAGAAGTAAATAAATATTTGCTTCTAATTACAGGATTAATAAACAAATATCATTTAATTATAAAAAATTCAATCATTATAGGTATAACAGAGCTTCCTTTGAAACCACCACCTCCAAACCCACATTTACTTCTAGAAATATATTGTTCTGCATGAGGGTTTGTGGTTACATAGTTGTATCTTACCATGTATTCTTTCTACAATCTGCCATTATCACTCAAAATTTATTATTTTTTATTTTTGTGTAGAAAAACTGGGATGTAGGCCAGAGGAGAAGGGGCTAAGAGTATTCACCAGAGACACACTGGGGAGCAGAACAGGTGGATCTAGTGAAATACACTGCTGAGCAGAGCAGGGGGTGAAACAGGAGAGGTCTACTGTGCCATGTGGGTTAGCTCCCTGGCTGGGATCGAACTCAGGCTTCAAACTCAGGCTGTAGAAGTGATAGCACTGAAACTTAACCCCAAGACCAGGACCATCTCTCAAAATTAAAAAAAAAATTATTAGTTTTTTTCCCTTACATCATATGACCCATGAACCATCACCATAGTCCCTTGTGCTCTTTCCTTCCCTGTTTTGACCCTCTCTCTCCACCTCCTTTACTGCATGCATAAATCTATGGTCAGCTTGCTAGTTCTGACTTTTTCTTGACCTTTTGTTTGGTTTCTTTATAGTCTGCAAATAAGTGAGACCATCAGATATTTATCTTTCTCCTTCTGACTTATTTTACTTAGCATAATCCTTTCCAGCTCCATCCATGTTGCCACAAATGGCATGAGTTTGTCTTGTTTGATGGCTCTATCACTCAAAATATTTTGGAGCTGACTCTAAGTCACTTCACAGAGATCTAGTCTCATTCTTTTAAATCCTGCTTAGGTGTATCTAGAGATACTTTTGGAAACACATTCCATAACTCTTTCCAAACTTTTCTGATGAGAAGAATGACAAAGATACATTCAGGCCTTTCCCAAGAGTGTTTCCACAGGAGGTTGGAGAAATATTTTGCAACAAATATCCCAAGTGATTTTATAATTAAGTAAATTTGGATACTCTATCACGCTTTCTTTATTTAATTATTTTCCTGTCAAATGGTGGTTAAGTAGTTTGAATTTTTTATATTACAAGCAATGTGCAGTGCTCATCTATTTATGGACCTCCTAGTGGATATGTTATTTTTCTGATGCCAATACTGAGAAATGGAACTGATGAGTCATGTAGTATGCACATTTTAATATTTATTAGATATTGCCAAATTACCTCCTAATGTGACTGTAGCAAAGTGTGGTACCCATCATTGTCACATCAACATTTAATCTTATATTAAAAAGAAATTTTGTCTAATCTATCATCATGTCCTAACACTGCATTTTATCAGAGTTCATCATTATATCCTGCCTCTACCTGTTTTTT